ACCTGGGGATTATCATCGTTTTCATTCTCCGGCTGAGTGGCAACCTAAACTAAGACGTCATTTTTCCGGAGAGTTGTTATCAGTCAATCCATGCATAGCTACATGGCTTCCAGAACTCTTTTGTCTCAACGAGCGAGCTGTATATTTGGGAAAATGGAAACATGGCTTTTTCAGTTACACAGCAGTGGGCGCGACCAATGTGGGGTCTGTGCAGATATACATGGATGAAAGTTTGAAAACGAACCGTTGGACGGGATTGAAATTAGGAGCTTATGCAAATCGGCATATATATGATGAGACTCCCCTACCGAAAGACAAATCTTTGGGGCGAGGCGAATTGCTGGGACAGTTTAATATGGGTAGCACAATAGTGCTTTTGTTTGAAGCGCCTACAAACTTCAAGTTTAACATTAAAAATGGACAGAAGATACAGATGGGTGAAGCCCTAGGCACCCTGGAGTAAACCAAATTTGATTAGCCACTACTAGTGGCCTTAAGCCGAAAAACTTCTTGAAATGAAGACAACTGCAAATGTTGCGATTATAATATAATCGTGGCGCCAGTCGAAATATTTGAAATGATCTACATATGCATGCATGCGAAGGCAACTAATTGTGATGCCTTCTAACTTGTTAAGCAATGTAAGGGCTGCTTTTATCTTTGATTATAATTTTTATCTTTAAATATGGTTATCATAGCCGTTTGCCAAATATAGAACTTTAAAACAACATCAGTCGTTATTTATTTATGTACTAAAAATAATAAGATTCTAAATGAAAGTTGTGTACTTCTAGGCTTTAAGGTTGGGAGCAGTAATCAGGGCTATCACTGAGACCATCGTACTTTCATTTTTCGTGAAATCTACAAAAGTGTTATCAGTGAATTCGAATAGCTACGAACGTAGCAATATTTTAAATACATACGTTCGAAGGAATTCGGATTCGGTGAACGAATTTCGTAGAATTCACGAAAATCGCCCTCCGATGGATTCAGTGATAACCCCGAAAATGCGAACGCTTCAGTTTGTTTATTTTATGCTACCATAAGTATGATAAATGTAATGTATTGAAGTTATTTTTGAAACAAATCTTTTGTAGTCGTATATGTATGTACATATCTACATACATATTTGTTATTGTGTACCGCTCGAACCATTTTGGGATGCATATTATTGAGATATTTTAGTTTTTAACAAGAAATACGAAAAAATTAAAAATGAATGTGTTTATTATTTTATTGCAAACAACTTGGGTGAGAATGGTGTTGTTTATTAATGATCTAATATAGTCTGAAAGTTGGTTCCATATGAATTTGGTCCAGGTACGATGATTGCGTCATTGACAAAATACCGGGGCTCTTTGATTTTTATTGTGACGGTTGAAGTCTGTTGTATTTTGGGTTTTCAGGCAGGTTCTGCAATTCACTTTCGAGTGAATTTCAACCGCTGCCAATTTAAATCAAAGCGAATTTGGTTGAAATTCGCTCGGAAGTGAATTGCCTGTACATCGTGGTTTTAATTATTAGATTTTCAAATTAAAAAGGTGAGTGGGGCGAGTTATCCTAGCTCTGTTTCAAAGGTAGTACCCAGATAGATTTAATATTCGAATATCTCCCGGTTGTTAACCGGATATCCGGATACAAAAAAATAATCAACCCTATTCTGCATTTCGACTCGATTCGAAATTTTCTCCGTTTGGCAACTTTGGTATTCTGCGTTCCGTTTCGTTTCGATAAATATTCGAGATTTACGATTATGCCTGTTCTACACTTCGATCGTAGTTACGTTTTTCTAAGTTGCAAATTTGTTGACGGGGAATTTTTCGTTTGTTATTTTCGTGGGTTTAAATATTAAAATTGTATAAGAAAATTAAGTAAAATATACTGTGCATGATTGTAAAAGTCGTCATAAATGAATTTTTTTGATTTCTGTGTTTTCGCGAGCAGTAAAACGGGCAATACGAAAAATTGGCTCAAATAATGGCAACCAAAAGGGTATATTGCACGGGGTTTTCAAAGAGGAAGTCCAGGCGTTTTTGTTTTCCTTATCTATAAAAAAGACTGAAACACAGCTTATTCTTTTTATATAACATTAATAGGCTTAGGTACATTCATACGTACATAAAATGTGGAGTTACATAAAAAATATGCTTTATTATGGTACTAACTTTTTAAAAAGAGGTGTGTAAGTTGTCACGAATACGTTTTGCTATGGAAGGATAAGCTTTGTTCTTCCCCTCCTCCTGTCGGCTCTCAAAATCGAATTCATTTGCGCACAAATCTTCCACTCTGTACTGAATGCAAATGTTGTGGAGTGCTCAAACAACGTTTATAATTTCATTGGCTTTGAGCAATAAGTAATGCAGTTCAAGATGAATTTCTTATAATTCTAAACTCATCTGCAAAGGATCAAACATGTCCTTAAATCTCCGCCTTTCAACTTTCGCATCAGCAATCTGGGACTCTTTCTGCTTTGAGCAATAGAATTATGTTTCCACTTAAATTAAGAACAAACGAAATTTCACTTTTAAATTAAAAAAATGAGTTAGATATATTTAGTTATTTTAAAGTATTTATAAATTTTAACTTCATAAGCTGCCATAGTGTGGTGGCAATTACTTCTTTTGTTTTGTTTCGATTTCACACACCACCTTATGATATAAAAGATTTTATTTTCAACTCAATTAAAAGAAAACTATCAAATTGGGTAAAAGAAAATTATGTATAACCATCCTTAAACACAAATGGAACATATATATTTCTAAAGCACTAAGCACGAATTGTAAATAAAATTATAGTTTAAAAAACTAAAACCTCCCTCCTCATCAGGTATGTAACTTGAGAATAGAAATCGCTGCATCTTTTAGGCGCATAAATATTACATAGTTACATCCCGAGCTAATAAAAGGAAGGTAATACAAACAGCTTAAATCTAAATAAATATACTACTACAACTACTACATTCCTAGGCAACCAGCTGATTTGGAAGATGTTTTCGCTCTTCCTATTCTTCTTTCGATTCGATCGTAACTTAGAATATCAAATTACGATTGTAGCGGAGCAGAATGCGGGAACGTAATCGAAATGCAGAATAGGGCTGATTAATCTCCAGTTTGTTTACTTTAGTGTGTGCTGACTATGGTTGCCGTATGTCATTTTTCGTTTGTACCATAACTGTCGTTTAAATATACCAAAATAGATAAAAATGCAGCAAGCTAAAATTAGGTTTGTTCGTCGAGCAAAAAATTTGTACGAATTTGTACGAATTATCACGATTTTTGCCCAAATCGCGTTCGTGCAGACCAAAAAATTATNGGCGCCAGTCGAAATATTTGAAATGATCTACATATGCATGCATGCGAAGGCAACTAATTGTGATGCCTTCTAACTTGTTAAGCAATGTAAGGGCTGCTTTTATCTTTGATTATAATTTTTATCTTTAAATATGGTTATCATAGCCGTTTGCCAAATATAGAACTTTAAAACAACATCAGTCGTTATTTATTTATGTACTAAAAATAATAAGATTCTAAATGAAAGTTGTGTACTTCTAGGCTTTAAGGTTGGGAGCAGTAATCAGGGCTATCACTGAGACCATCGTACTTTCATTTTTCGTGAAATCTACAAAAGTGTTATCAGTGAATTCGAATAGCTACGAACGTAGCAATATTTTAAATACATACGTTCGAAGGAATTCGGATTCGGTGAACGAATTTCGTAGAATTCACGAAAATCGCCCTCCGATGGATTCAGTGATAACCCCGAAAATGCGAACGCTTCAGTTTGTTTATTTTATGCTACCATAAGTATGATAAATGTAATGTATTGAAGTTATTTTTGAAACAAATCTTTTGTAGTCGTATATGTATGTACATATCTACATACATATTTGTTATTGTGTACCGCTCGAACCATTTTGGGATGCATATTATTGAGATATTTTAGTTTTTAACAAGAAATACGAAAAAATTAAAAATGAATGTGTTTATTATTTTATTGCAAACAACTTGGGTGAGAATGGTGTTGTTTATTAATGATCTAATATAGTCTGAAAGTTGGTTCCATATGAATTTGGTCCAGGTACGATGATTGCGTCATTGACAAAATACCGGGGCTCTTTGATTTTTATTGTGACGGTTGAAGTCTGTTGTATTTTGGGTTTTCAGGCAGGTTCTGCAATTCACTTTCGAGTGAATTTCAACCGCTGCCAATTTAAATCAAAGCGAATTTGGTTGAAATTCGCTCGGAAGTGAATTGCCTGTACATCGTGGTTTTAATTATTAGATTTTCAAATTAAAAAGGTGAGTGGGGCGAGTTATCCTAGCTCTGTTTCAAAGGTAGTACCCAGATAGATTTAATATTCGAATATCTCCCGGTTGTTAACCGGATATCCGGATACAAAAAAATAATCAACCCTATTCTGCATTTCGACTCGATTCGAAATTTTCTCCGTTTGGCAACTTTGGTATTCTGCGTTCCGTTTCGTTTCGATAAATATTCGAGATTTACGATTATGCCTGTTCTACACTTCGATCGTAGTTACGTTTTTCTAAGTTGCAAATTTGTTGACGGGGAATTTTTCGTTTGTAATTATAAATTTTAACTTCATAAGCTGCCATAGTGTGGTGGCAATTACTTCTTTTGTTTTGTTTCGATTTCACACACTACCATATGATATAAAAGATTTTATTTTCAACTCAATTAAAAGAAAACTATCAAATTGGGTAAAAGAAAATTATGTATAACCATCCTTAAACACAAATGGAACATATATATTTCTAAAGCACTAAGTACGAATTGTAAATAAAATTATAGTTTAAAAAACTAAAGCCTCCCTATTATAATTGCCATTCGTACTGTCATGTAATTGAGAATAGAAATCGCTGCATCTTTTAGGCGCATCAATATTACATAGTTACATCCCGAGCTAATAAAAGGAAGGTAAAAAGGAAGGGACAAATAGCTTAAATCTAAATAAATATACTACTACAACTACTACATTCCTAGGCAACCAGCTGATTTGGAAGATGTTTTCGCTCTTCCTATTCTTCTTTCGATTCGATCGTAACTTAGAATACCAAATTACGATTGTAGCGGAGCAGAATGCGGGAACGTAATCGAAATGCAGAATAGGGCTGATTAATCTCCAGTTTGTTTACTTTCAAGAATGATAGAATACAAGATTGCGCCGATCAGAGAGGATTTTTGAGAATAACTTTTGTGAGACGTCACACTGGTGCAATTGCGAGAGAGAAATGCCAAAACGTGAGCAAGAATGGAAGAAGAAGAAAAAATGTTGCAAGGAAAACGTAAACAAGTTGCACAAGTGTGACGTCATGCAAACAACGATTCTGTCAAATTCGTTAAGAGAGGAATAGCGGTCCGAGATCNTTACTTTAGTGTGTCTGAATATGGTTGCCGTATGTCATTTTTCGTTTATACCATAATTGTCCTTTAAATATTTTGGTAGGTTGATTGTTGATATTAAAATTTTATAATTATAAATGTATAAATATCATCTATATAAATGTACATTTGTAGTTATCTACTATTTTTTTTTTGATCAAGGATGTGTCTTTGGAGGATATTTTCTTTTTATGAGAAAAATATTTCATTCACTCCGATATAATTAATTTTGTATTTTAAAAAGGTTTTTCGATTCCAAAAGTATGCAATTGTGTAAAATGCAAAATCGGCGGAAAATGTACCAAGCAGAAAATAAATCGCCAAATGACCAACCATTGGCAACTGTGGAAGTGATCAGCTGTTTCGTAGGCTGCAAGTTTTTGCAAATTTTGCGTTCTCGTACTTCTGTGGGTATTTTGTCTCTTTGAGAGCGGATGCTGCTAAATTCTCAGAATTTTTTTCTGCTGGATAGTTTTGTCCCCTCAGTACGAGTACACACCTATTTAAGGAACTGCCGTATATAATTTTTATTTTTGTACAAAAATTCTTTATTAAAAAATGATATCTAAAGTTCCTAGGCTCTCTAGATCGTTTGTAAAGCGTTATGTAAACATTAATGGTATGGAATCTAATTTACAAACATACAAGTCTGATTATCTTGATGTACTTTGGTATTTGCAGATTATGCTGTGCGAGATTTTGCAATTGCTTCAAACAACCTGTGGAATTCAAGTATCCAACAGCGAGTTTCTCTTTGCCCAAACAAATGCCGCCCATGGAAAACCGGTATGCAGAATATGCATTACAGCACTGAAAAAATACGTCAACCAATACCGGGCGTAGAATATGGCGATATCAAAGATTTACCAAACCACCCAGAAAAACTTTTAATTGATGTGCGTGAACCACAGGAACTCTTAGAAACTGGAAAAATTCCAACAAGTATAAATATCCCACTGGAATCCGTAGTGCAAGTATTGGCCGAAGATGTTAAGCCACAGAGATTTCAATCGAGGTACGGTCGCGGCAAGCCTACGATTCACGATGAGATAATTTTTACCTGTAAACTAGGAAAACGTGCGCTTAAAGCAGCAGAAATAGCAAGTGCAATGGGTTATACAAATGTAAAATACTATCCCGGATCTTGGGAAGATTGGGTCGAAAATGAAAATAAGCATTAATTTCTGAATATGCCACATAGTAAATCTTGCGTAATGCAGATCACAAATTTCAATCTCCTTAACTCGATTCAAAGTTACGTACACATCTATGTATGTACATAAGTATATATGCACATATGTATATCGCAAGGTTTTAATTAGCACTGCACATTTGTATTACTATACATGAAAATGTATACATAAATACATACTTACATATGAGTACACATACATATAAGTATATGAGAAATCATTGCATTTAAATTTAAAATGTTTAAGTTTTCAAACTGGTTTAAGCTGCACATATTGCTCATTTACTTCAAAAGATTCATAACTTCAAAAAGCAAAACTCGAGAACAACGGTTTTTAAGTTTTTAATTGACATATACTCCCAAGGTAAAAATGAATAAATATCGCACGTTTAATAATATAGAGATGCAATTAAAAATTTACGTTTTTGCAGATTCCATCAAACAATTACATAATAAGTTTGATAAGGAGAATATGTTCAACCTAACAGATGAGTCAACTTTCCAACTTTTCTATATTTTGGTATGAAGTGATCAAACATTGATGGAATTATGAATTAATTCTTTATATTAGGCGCGTTTTTTTACACGCATACGTATGTACATTAGGGTGGTCCTTAAAAAAGTCAAATGCGCGATTTTTTTCAGTCTCACTCCTTCAATCGGTAATACCACGATCACAGGTATCACATACAAATTTAGGTCGCGATTGGAGTCGGTTAAGGCGTGTCGCACTGGATACCCAAAAAATGAAAATATTTTTTGTTCATTCAATACCCAAAATCGGTACTACTAAAATCGAAGATATCACATAAAAATTTTGGTCCCGATTGGAGTCGGTTAAGACGTCTTCATAGGGTAATCTGAATTTTAACCCCTGTGTGCCACGCCTTAATCGACTCCAATCTGGGCCAAAAGTTATATGTGATATCTTCGACTATATAATTTTAATTTTTTGGATCTCCTTATAGGAATCTGACTTTGCCTCTCAAATCTGATATACAAATTTGCTTCCTACATTTAAGGACCACCCTAATGCACATATCTGTGCTTAAAAATTGTATGGATCACTAAGAGCCAGTTTCACAACTAAACTTAAGTTGAACTTAAGTTCTAGTTGAGAAAAATCTTAGCTAAGAATAGTTTATGGTTTTGTTCAAGTTTTCGTTTCACAATGCGTACTTAAGTATGGAAAATATATTGTTAAAAATTATGGCAGCACTACATAAAATGCTTTGTTTAGATGTTTTGATATTTATTAAAATACAAAACAACTCAGGAGATAGTGTATGAGGTTTATTTAAAGTCTAATATTTGAGCGAAGAAATATAAAATATTGAGCTATATATTAACAAAAATGTCAGAAAATAAGAGGAGAATAAATTTCGGTCCAAATGAAATTGATTTGCTGGTGTGCCTCTTCGTATTCCGAATCACTATTATCTTCCCAACTCAAATCAAAATCCATTTTGTGCCTTTATTTTATTTTTCCGACAAATTGTTATGCTTCTCAATCAACAGTTGCGATCCCGTGCGAGTCCGGACTAGTCAGAATCAGTCAGATTTTACTGGAAATCGATCCCGTACTCGGTTCTCTGACTATTGAGAGGACAAAAAAAGAGAGTAAATACGGTTCTCTCTCTGTCAGAAGTTACCAGTTTTAGTCCGAAAATTTTTTGCTGGTAAATTCTGGTAAATGTGTCAAACGATCAGCTGTAGTGTGTTTGGCAACCAAATGGTAAACAAAAGTAACGTTGTTGGAACTGACATCGATGTATCGTCAATTTAGCAATAATATGCGCAAATACAAATTGGTAAAAATAAGATTTTTTCGAATTCTTATTTGCACTAATTGGTATTTGTGTGGGATATTTTGCGCATTAGAAAATTGTAAGCATCGATTTTTGAACCGATATTATCGATGTTTCAAAAGCATCGATGCATCGTTTGCATCCCTACCTCTAAACTCAAGAATAGGAATGGTAAAAAAATGAAATAATCGATTAATTAATCATATCGTCGATGTTTTTGCAAACCGCCTATCGTACCGCACTCAAATTTTACAGGAGAGCGAAAAAACGGTTTATTCTTTGAAGTCATTGCCTTGATAGGCGGTATTTTCTCTAGCTTTTATTTTCTGTTTTTTATTTTTTATCTGTTGTTTTAATAACGATTTAACGGTTGTTATGCATAAATCTAGATGCCTGGAGTTCAGGGTTACCAAATCTCATTTTTGCCACAACGGCGATTTAGGCGGTTTTACAACTGGTCGATGGGCGATTTTGCAAAAACATCGACGATATGATTAATCATAAGCAAAAAAAAATTAATTGCAGTTATTTGGTAAATAATCAATTAATCGGATTTTTAAAGGCTCAGTGAGTATTCACAAAAACACTTTTCCATAAAAAATGTCTACTTCTCTTGTTAGTTAGCTTTAAATAAAATAAAACGAGTATTTTTAGTGGCGAAAATTATTAATTATTTAACCAAGTTTGCAAAAACAAAAGTCTGATAAGCATTTTTTTGTAAAGCGGTTGCGTTTCATAATGGCTGTAGCACCAGATTTAAAAAAAGGCGCTAAGCAGGCACCGAGGTACCAACTAATTGACAGTATGTTTTCGAAAGTGCGTAAAGTTTTGTGTAAACAGTTTTTATTTCGTCCCAAGCGTCGATGATATTCCGTTTTAGTTCTAGGACTTGACAATTTAACTAAAAACTCATTTCACCTAGTAGGTGACCGAAATCATCATCTTTTCGCCTTCGTTTGCGCAAAGAGATTTATGAGGGGCTCAAAAATCGAACTCATTTTCTGCTGATTCTAGTGACGATCTGCGCACATTATATAATTTCGCAACAACTCCATTACTGAGGCCAATGCTAACGGATCTTTGAAATGAATAGTTGTGAACCTCGGGTTGAGTAAAGTTACTAGCAAAAAGAATGTTTAGATAACTACAGAACTAATTTTTTTTTAATTTTACGATTATTTTCCAATTAATCGATTGATGAAACAAATCTACGATACAATTATATCGTAAATTAGACGGAAATAATCGATTTATTTAATCATATGATTAATCGCTGCCATCTCTGCTTAAGAATACCAATGTTTATACTTAGCATTGCTAATGTATCGTGCTAATGACTAGCGTAAAAGTTAACTACGAAGCCTTTAAATTTATTCAATCAGTTCTATTGCAGGCAGTGGTTTTATTAGGCGAAAGTTCCCATAAATAAATCATACAGAGAGCTCCTACACTATACGAATTTTGGATACAAANAAGGGGCCCAAAGATCGAACTCATTTTTTGCTGATTCTAGTGACGACTCTGCGCACATTATTTAATTTCACAACAACTCCATTACTGAGGCCAATGGTAACGGATCTTTGAAATGAATAGTTGTGAACTTCGGGTTGAGTAAAGTTGCTAGCAAAAATAATGACAACTACAGAACTAATTTTTTTTTTTAATTTTACGATTATTTTACAATTAATCGATTAATGAAACAAATCTACGATACAATTAAATCGAAAATTGGACGGAAATAATCGATTTATTTAATCATATGATTAATCGCTGCAATCTCTGCTTAAGAATACCAATGTTTATACTTAGCATTGCTAATGAATCGTGCTAATGACTAGCGTAAAAGTTAACTACGAAGCCTTTAAATTTATTCAATCAGTTCTATTGCAGGCAGTGGTTTTATTAGGCGAAAGTTCCCATAAATAAATCATACAGAGAGCTCCTACACTATACGAATTTTGGATACAAAATCGACTGGCTTCAGCTATAGTACCTACCTGAATAAAAGGCATTTATTCTCCCAATTTTTACGAATTATTTAAACATGTGAGTATAATGAACGTATGTACATCCATATGTATAAGTTATTTGTCCTTCTCCGAACTTTGATCCACTTTAAAGTTTTGGTCCAAAGTTTATTGCATTCATATTTATGTGCATAGCTTCTGTAGCAGTATGACTTTAAACAATAAATTTTTAAATAAAAGACACTACCGATTTCAAAGTTATCCGTTAACATACATAAATATGTACGTAAGTAAATGCTAATGTAAATAAATCTTCCGATGATTGATAACCTTTATATTTTTTGCGAAGTCGGTTAAAACAAGCATGAATTCTCCTTGCTTCCACACATATGTAAGTTAGATTTGCACTCTGGTGATAAGATAAATCTTGTTATCAAGATAATCACTACTAACAAATTTCATTTATATGCATACATACATATCGGTCATATCTATAGCACGCCATTTCAAAGTGATATTGTGTGCCACTTATGTTCATTTATTTATTTTTACGAATTTTCAACTAAAATATAGTTCATTCTCAGACAAACCCCATATAAACCCATATAGACATATACCGTTTTGCAGTATCACCCATGATAAAAACATAGCAAGGTAGAACCGTTCTCTCAATTTGTCGGCCATGATTTTTTTTTTAAGTTTGCCAACATTTTAAAATCATATAAAAGTGAAAATAAAAAATTGGAATTGTTCGAAATTTTTGTTGCTTGAAATTGAAAATGAAAATGTGTGTGTGAGTTTGTGAGTAAATTTAAAAATTAAATTGTTTGGAAACGTCAAGAATTTTAAAAGTGACTCTCAGCGGTTCTACCTTACTATATTTTTATCATGCTGTGAACTACAATCATGATAAAAATATAGTAAGGTAGAACCGCTGAGAGTCTTTTAAAATTCTTGACGTTTCCAAACAATTTAATTTTTAAATTTACTCTCACAAACTCACACACACATTTTCATTTTCAATCTCAAGCAACAACAATTT